GATATGATCGTTGAAGCTCGATTCCATCCATCCTCCAACTTATTGTTTGTCTATAATAAATAAGAAAACACAAATACTAGTCAAACAATATTAGTGATAAATTATTTATTAAATATCATCAAAATAAAGAGGCCAACAACACTCAGTTTCAAGCACGGTGTAACAAATATGAATTGAGGATTATCAAATATGGGGAAAAAAATTGCAAAAGAGAAACTTTAGTGGATCAAACATTAACATCCTAGTTTCATCAGTTATAACGATGAGGATTATCAAAATATGTGGCCATTCTTGAAGTCCAAGATAACCCTACATTTTTCTCGCTACATGTTTCAATTTGCATTTATCTACTTCGATTTTTATGCAGGTGAACCAAACACAGAGGAGGGAATTGAAGCATGTACATAATGATGTACGCTAATAAATGGGGGGGGGGGGGGGCAGGGGAGTCCATCCTACTTTCATCAATAATAGTTAAGCAGCTCATAATTGTATTTAGGCACTCTTTAGATCCAAGATACTCTTCAAATTTTCTTGTTGGCGGTTCCAATATGTATCTTAATAATTTCTTTTGATGAGGAAATTGAAGAAGAATTCATACAGATACTATTGCTGAGCCTGAAATTTCTAGGCTAAGCATGGAAAAGTATAAATAAATATAATTAAACCTTTTAAATTGTTGAGTCACAAAATATGTAAAAAAACCGCTAAAGCTAAATTAAAGTATAATGCTATAGTGATGTTTAATCATCTAAACATATCGAGGATTTTCATAATTGTATAATGAGTAAGTATGTTTAATTTAATTTCATTATTTGTCAAGAACAGAGAGTAAGCACCATTATATTTGTATCAAGCGCGCGGAAGAAGAAAATTGTATAAATATAATTAACAAACACTCAACGAAATCATGAACTATCATGCAGAAGAGGAAATTGAAGAAGAATTCGTTCAGATACTATTACTGAGTCTTAAATTTCTACGCTAAGCAAGGAAAAATATAAATAAATAAACATAACTCAGTTGATTATAACCTGAAGAAGAAATTTCTCTCTAGTGGTGGAAGAATAACTCAGTTCTCTCTATCCTTAGGCGGAAGAGAAAAGAAGATTGTAAACAGGAATGTATGGAAGCAGAGCAATTGGCAATTGCTTGTGGGGAAGTTGAGAAACGTGGCCATCTTGAGCGGGGGAAATTGAGAAACGTGGCCATCTTGAGCAGGAAAAGTTGAGCAACGTGTCTGAAGCTCTCTCAACATGGCCAATTTGAATGAATTGCGTTAACAACGGACGATTGTGGGGAATTGCGTTTACAGTGGATGGTTGTGGGGGAAGCTGTGAGAACAATTGTTGGTTGCGGTGAATTAACTCAACAATGGACGGTTGTGGAGAATTAAGAGGAAAATACGTAGATAATTAAAAAGTTTACTGTTCACCTTAAGATTTTCTTTTAGTTATAAAGGAAAGTAGATGCATTATTCTCTAATAACTTTTGAATCAATACACTGACCTCGATTACAAAACATTTGTAGATTAATGTATTGATTCAAATGTTATTGCTACCTTGGTGCAACATTGCTGTTCAGAATTGAGACATTCATTCTTTTTATTGTTCGACTTATATTTATTTGCTTACTTGATTTTGTATCTTTTTTATTTGAACTCATTACAAGGACTCTTCTATATACTTCTTCATAGACAAACCGTATAATCTTTTATCTCAAACAACATAAATCCCACTACTTTGTAGACAAATCATATAATTTTATCTCAAACAACACATAAATTTTATTACTAATCCCAAGCAAGAAACTCTGTTTCCATGGGTTATCTAAAACAGTTTTTAATTATAGAATCCGTAGAAGAAACAATCGTTTCTCAAAAAATGAAATAAAAGAAACGATGGCATTGATCTATATACTAGTTTCGTAGAAATTCATGGTAGATAATTCAAACTCAGCAATAAGAAATCCCCACTATCTTTGGCAGTTTCAAGTAGTTTCTACAGTAGGTTTTTAGATAATAGTCCCTTAGTTTTCAATAATTGCATATTAATCCCTCACATCTTGAAAATTGCATATTAGTGCCTCAAATCTTACATGAATTGCAAAATAGTCATTCTAGTTAACCACATAAGATTTGAGGGGAATATTCTGTTAAATCTAACGGTTAGAGGCGACCATTTTCTGTTTTCAAACTCATTTTTAATGGGTCTAAATCGAATACCCGCTTAAAAATACCCAAACTCACTTAACCTCTTCTCCGATAATTAGAATAGAACATTAACAGAACAGTAGTTTGATGATTACAGATGTTACGTTGGGAACTAACCCAACGTTACTTAGATTTTTCTTAATTGAAACATTAACAAAACGATCATTTTATGAGACCTTATAGGATTTAAAGAACTAGTATGCAATTATAAGGTGTAAGGGACCAATATCTAAAAACGCCTAAAATATATTGCAATTTATCCTAAAAAACACTGAAAGAAGAAAAAAAAAAAAAGGACCCATGTGCCCGTAACCACTTGTTAAGGGGGTGATGCCTGATTTCTCTTTCCTGTAGTAACTTCCGTTTCTCGTCCCTTTGCCCTTTTTTCATAATTCATTTATTTCTTTATTCTCTCTACAAACTACAATAATAAATAAAATTTTACTGTATATCTAATAGTTAATAAATACAAATAATTTTTTAGGGAAAATTGTGTCAAGGCCCCACAAGTAAAATCTTCATGTGCTGCAGCCCCTCCATTTTTTCCTATATTGTTCAGCCCTAAAAAATGTCACATCATGTGCTGCAGCCATTTTTCATGTAATTATCATGTCAACTAAGCACAAAGAGAGAAAAAAAAGATAAAAACCCAAATTACCCTCATTTCCTCCTCCCTCTTCATTCTCTGCAGATCTATTATGTTAGGTCTAGTTTGATTCATGTCAAGTCTAATTTAATTCCTTTTAAGTCTAATTTAAATCAAGTTAAGTCTAATTCAACTTGTTTTAGGTCTAAAAATAAGTTGAATTAAAGTTAACATGAATCATGTTAAGTCTAATTTAACATGTTTTAAGTCTAATTTTATGTTAAGTCTAATTTGATTCATATTAAGTCTAGTTTGATTCATGTTAAGTCTAATTTAATTCCTTTTAAGTCTAATTTAAATTATGTTATGTCTAATTCAACTTATTTTAAATCAAAAATAAGTTAAATTAGACTTAACATGAATCATGTTAAGTCTATTTCAACTTATTTTAAGTCTAATTTTATGTTAAGTCCAATTTTACTTCATGTTAAAACCAATTTGATTCATGTTAAATATAATTTAATTCCTTTTAAGTCTAATTTTAATCCAGTTTAGTTTTATGTCCAATTTAGTTCATCTTAAGTCCAATTTGGTTCATGTTAAGTCCATTTTGATTCATGTTAAATCTAGTTTGGTTCTTGTTAAGTCCAGTTTGATTCGTGTTAAGTCCAGTTTAAATCATTTTAAGTCTAATTTAAATCGTTTTAAGTTTAATTTAAATCTTTTTAAGTCTAATTTAAATCATTTTGAGTCTAATTTAAATTGAACTTAACATGAAATTAGACTTAAAATAAAATGAAATAGACTTAACATGGATTATATATTAAGTCCAATTTAGTTCATGTTAAGTCTAATTCGGTTCATGTTAAGTCCAATTTAAATCATGTTAAGTTCAATTTAGTTCATGTTAAGTCCAATTCGGTTCATGTTAAGTCCAATTTAAATCACGTTAAATCCAATTTGGTTCATGTTAAGTCCAATTCGGTTTATATTAAGTCCAATTTAAATCATGTTAAGTCTAATTTAACATGTTTTCATATTAAATCCAATTTAGTTCATGTTAAGTTTAATTTAATTTCTTTTTAGTCTAGTTTAAATAATGTTATATTTAATTTAACTTGTTTCAAGTCTAAAAACAAGTTGAATTAGACTTAACATGAATCACTTTAAGTCTAATTCAACTTGTTTTAAGTCTAGTTTCATATTAAGTCTAATTCTATTCATGTTAAGTCCAATTTGGTTCATATTAAGTCTAATTCGGTTTATGTTAAGTCTAATTTAATTCTCTTTAAGTCTAATTTATCATGTTATGTATAATTCAACTTATTTTAAGTCTTAAAACAAGTTGAATCAGACTAAATATGAATCATGTTAAGTCTATTTTAACTTATTTTAGTTTAATTTCAATCATGTTAAATTCCTTTTTTGTCTAATTTAAATCATGTTAAGTCTAATTTAGCTTTTTTTAAGTCTAATTTCATGTTAACTCCAATTAAATTAGTCTTAATTCAAGTTGAATTAGACATATCATGATTTAAATTAGATTTAAAAGGAATTATATTAGAGTTAACATGAATTAAATTGGACTTAACATGAAATTAAACTTAAACCAAGTTGAAATAGACTTAACATGAATTAAATTAGGCTTAAAAAAGTTAAATTCGACATAACATGATTTAAATTAGATTTAACATGATTTAAATTAGACTTAATATGAATTAAATTGAACTTAACATGAATTAAATTGAACTTAACATGAAATTAGACTTTTATTTAAGACTAATTCAACTTGCTGTTAGATTTAACATGAAAGAATAGAGGAGATAAGAGCATTTTAAGGTTTTTTATTTTTTATTTTTTTTCTATACTTAGTTGACAAGTAATAATTGCTAAAAAAAGTTGTAATATAAATCTCTAATTTAAATGCTAAAACACATTAGAAAATTTCAAAGGAGCTGCAACGCATAAAGTTTTTACTTTTGGATGTAGACACAATTTTCCCATTAATGATTGTGTACTTTTTTGGGTCTTTCTTTTGTTACGCCTGCTAATAACAGCAGAGCTTCTCCTGTGTGGATCTCCACTCACCACTCTCACTCAACGCCAAAACAAAACGACCCAAAACCCTTTAAAATCCATCAAAAAATCAACAAAAAAATCAAGAAAAAAGACAAAAAAAAAAAAGAAGAGGGAGGACGCCGATGGGGGACAAGTCGGAGGTCTTGGATGCCGTCCTCAAGGAGGCCGTCGATTTGGTAATCCCAATTTCTTCTGGGTTTCCCAAAATTTCCCCCACTTTTTTCTGTTCTTGATTGATTAGTTTGTGTAATTTTGTGTTTGAATTGGGGATTTTTAGGAGAATATACCGATTGAGGAGGTGTTCGAGAATCTTCGATGCAGCAGAGATGGGCTCACCAGCGATGCTGCTCAAGAGAGGCTTAGTATTTTTGGTCACAACAAGCTCGAAGAGAAACAAGTAGATTATCATTTCTTTTTCTTTTTCTTGAATGAAATGTATTTTTTGGGTATTTTTTTGATTTTTTGTTTATTTTTTTAATTTTGCCAGGAGAGCAAGTTTATCAAGTTTTTGGGGTTTATGTGGAACCCTCTCTCATGGGTCATGGAGGCCGCTGCAATTATGGCCATTGCTCTTGCTAATGGAGGGGTGAGAATATTTATTTATTTATTACTATTCTTACCATTTTTATTTCTGGTCTATTTGCTTTTTTATTCATTATTTAGTATTTTATCTTTTTTTAATGTGGATGTTTGGATAAGTAAGAAGACTCCACGTCCGTGTAGAAGAGTAAAGCGAAGATAGTGGAACTTCTTTTCTTTGTTGATTCTTTTGTTAAAGGGGATTAAAGCATGTGCTTTTTGCCCCCATAAAGTTAGAACTTTTCCCTAAAGACCCATTTCTGCTTTATAACTTTACTAAGAAAGAATTTAGTGGAGAGCTTAAAATCAGACAGACTGGGAAAGATTTCATTGTTTCAATTGCTAAATGATCTTTAAAATTTTTATGTTGTTAAGATCTTCCTTGTGTTTTGCAGTCTAATTTATGCTTGAATAAAGATTGTGTTGTCAGTTTTTGATGGCTAGTGCACTAACTTTATTTTTCTATTTTGGCATAATTGAATCTTGCATAGGCTCAATGTTAAGTTATATTTAGTGACTAAAGTTTGACCCATCGCAGATGACTCAGACGCTTGGGAGGTTTGTTGGGGGAGAGATAGGGCTCAATATAGAGTTGTGGGCTTTTAAATAGTGGTTAGGAACCAATTTTAACCAAAAAGCATTAGCTACTAGGGTTTGGTCCGAACTCCTATTTTAAACCATTCACTTTTCATTATCCTATCCAATGTAAGATTGTACTCACATATTAATGACCTCAACACCTCCCTCTTAATTTGTGAGTATAGTTCAATCTTTTGCTATACTTCAAACTTTCATGGGATTCACTAACTTGGTGTGACCTATCAACCATACATCCGGCACATGGCTATCAAACATCAATAGGATCTTCTGCCACTTCACTGGTGGCTGCCACTTCACTTGTGGGCTAACTAGACCATATCACTACTACGGACATCTATGGGTTAACTTGACATGGTCTAACTTGACCTTAGTCATTTTCCTAGACCTTTGAGCTTCACATTGGACTTCACTTTTTTTTTTTATTTGGGTCATAACGTTAGCTTTGATACCATTTATTAGGGAGAGATCGGGCCCAATCAAGAGTTAGTGAGCTTTAAATAGAGGCTAGGAGCCAATTTAACTCAAAAACTATAGCTACTAGGTACTGACCCCAACTCTTATTTTAAACCCTTCACTATTTCTTATCCTATCCGATGTGAGTTTATACTCACATATTAATAACCTCCCTTGAATCTTGGGGTTTTTATGATATAGTCCCTATATGATTAGGTTTGTTTTTTCAAATTGAAGAGAGATTTTCAAATGGTTTCCGCGATTAGTTCATTGAGCTTGAATGCTTCATGGAAGTAGGCTAAAACTTTTAGTCGCTCATCAAGGCCCATAGTGACTAAAGCTGGCTTTTGGACAACTACTAAGTAAATATGATGTTATTAGAATTATTGGCTACTGGCTTGGGCAAATAAGAATTATTAACCATCTATCTTGAAAAAAAAGCATTGATTAGTTAAGAAGAGGGACTATTATATATTTATATGTCTTGTAACATGAAAAAGGTTTTAAGAAGAGATTATTGTATCTTAAAAGTTTATTTGAGATATAAAACTGAAAATTAAGACTAGATGTAGCATTTGGAGGGATTACCAAGTAAAATCTATTGCTCTGGACTATTAGCTTCTCCAAGTCTTATTTTTTTTTCAAATTAATCCCTCTAATAGCTATGTATATTCTCGAGTGGAGGGCCTAATTTCCAAATAAGTCAAAAATTAGGGGACCTAATAGTAATTTCCATGATTTGAGGGACTAATTGCAAAATGTGAAAGACTTAAGGTACTAATATGACGATTCAATTATGGAATGGTTTATTAAAAGAGATTAAGTGCCTTCTCCTATCATGAGTGAGGGTTTAATTATTTTCTGGACCCCCTTGCCAAAATTGCTTGCTCCGCCACTGATGGCTTCCATGGTCTTGGGTTCGATTCCGGGTTGGGTTATAAAAAAAAAGAGTGATTAAAGTTACTAACATTATAAGAACAGTGTAAAAAATTGTTGACTTGTTGGGTTGACAATCTAAAATATCACAATTTCAACTTTGCAACTAAATCATTTTATTAAAGTTCAATTAAAGGTTTTTAGCCCTTTGGAAAGAAATTAAAATTATTTTTAATTGATTAAAGTTCAATTAAAGGTTTTCAGCCCTTCTTGACAGTCTTTTTAACCATTTTCAATTTTAAGTTTGCAACTATTATTACAGTCATTCTTGTAGAATATGCTAGAAAAACCATACAAAAGGGTTAGGCTATATAATTATAACCGTCAATCATCACCATAACTTCGGAGTTTTGGTGTAGGGGCAAGACATTTAACATAGTATCGAAGCAACCAGGTTCAACTCCATCAGATACACATTTAAAAGATAATTTAGGAATAAAAAGAAAAAGAAACAAACTTTTGCATAAGTCCATGTTTCGGTCCATAGAAAAGAACCTTCAGCCTCCGGGGCAATGTTGAGTATAAAGTTATAACTCTCAACCGTGATCACAATTTCGGGGTTTGTTGCAGTGAAAGAGACCTTTAAACAAAAGAATTTTTTTAGAGAAATAGAAAATATAGTTCTTTTCAAAACGTGGTCAGCTTCATTATCATTTTCTTAATTTTGTTATTCATCAGGGTAAGCCTCCAGATTGGCAAGATTTTGTGGGAATCATAACCTTGCTTGTGATCAACTCAACAATCAGTTTTATAGAGGAAAACAACGCCGGTAACGCTGCAGCAGCCCTCATGGCCCGTCTTGCTCCCAAAGCCAAGGTTTTTGAATTTTCATAACCCCATTCATTTTTAATTTTTTATCAACAATTCCAATCTGTTTCATGAACAACGTAGTTATTAGTTTAAATCCCATATGCATGCAAAAACTGCAGGTGCTGAGGGATGGTCGATGGAGTGAGGAGGATGCAGCTGTTCTCGTGCCGGGAGACATTATCAGCATCAAGCTTGGTGATATTGTCCCTGCTGACGCTAGACTTCTTGATGGAGATCCTTTGAAAATTGATCAGGTTCTTATTTCTATTTTTTCTTTGTTTTGTATTTGATCTTTTTGTTTCTCGGAGCTGACCATTTTCTCCAACTTTTTGTTGTATTCATATTCATAGTCCGCCCTCACTGGAGAGTCTCTGCCGGTAACAAAAGGTCCTGGTGATGGTGTGTATTCTGGCTCGACTTGTAAGCAGGGAGAAATAGAGGCCGTTGTCATTGCAACGGGTGTCCATACCTTTTTTGGCAAGGCAGCACATCTTGTAGACTCCACGAACCAAGTTGGTCATTTCCAAAAGGCAAGTTGGAACCCTTTAAGCTCTTTGTTCAGTTTATTGATTTCTGCTGATGTTTAGCATATCCCAGACTGAGTTCTACTTTCATTTGGTTATAGGTGCTGACGGCTATTGGGAATTTCTGTATCTGTTCAATTGCTGTTGGAATGTTTGTAGAGATTATAGTCATGTATCCCATTCAGCACCGAGCTTATCGTCCTGGAATTGATAATCTTCTGGTTCTTCTCATTGGAGGAATTCCCATAGCCATGCCCACTGTTTTATCTGTTACAATGGCAATCGGATCGCATCGCTTGTCTCAGCAGGTATAGTTGTTGTTATTTGTCAGAATCATGATAAATCAAAGTGTTATATTTTGTAAAATGAAATGTGATTTTAGATTATAAAACTTAAATTTCTTAGTGGTGAGTGAAATGGAATTTAATGATGTTCTCAAATTCTAGCAATTCTTCTTTCCTTGACAGATTAAATTAACAATTTGTGGCTAATACAGGGAGCCATAACAAAGAGGATGACTGCTATTGAAGAAATGGCTGGAATGGATGTCCTTTGCAGTGACAAAACAGGAACTCTTACTCTGAACAAGCTTACAGTGGACAAGAACCTTATTGAGGTCAGCTTTCTTTTTCCTCTTCAGGGACTAAACACTACCTCACTCTCTCTTTAAGGATTATACTGAATATTCCACCTGGATATGCTGTAACGTGGTTTTCAGGTTTTTGTAAAGGGTGTAAGCCAAGATGCTGTTATCCTAATGGCTGCTAGGGCATCACGTGTTGAAAATCAAGATGCAATTGATACTGCTATTGTTGGGATGCTTGCTGACCCAAAAGAGGTAAGTCCTAATATATATAAAATGCTTGCGGTCTCACCCAGGTTCTTCTGCCTTCCATATAAAAGGGAAAACCATTTGCTCTTTCTAAAACATGCATTGTTTATGAAAGGCTCGTGCTGGTATCCAAGAAGTACACTTTTTGCCGTTCAACCCCACTGACAAAAGAACTGCCCTGACATACATTGATTCAGATGGAAAATGGCATCGTGTCAGCAAAGGTGCTCCAGAACAGGTAAATTTTTTCGTGATACTCTTTCTTTTGTGGCTTTTATTATTTTAGTTAACAAATAATCCATCTTTTAACTGTATTTGTTTGCAGATTCTGAATCTTGCACACAATAAGTCAGAGATAGAGCGCAGGGTGCATGCTGTTATTGACAAGTTTGCAGAGCGTGGACTTCGATCACTTGCTGTAGCATATCAGGTAAAAGAAACTCTGGCTCGACAACTTTCATGGTACGTAGGATGCTCTCCAACCAAAAATTTGTCTTATCTGACATATCCAGAAAAAGACACGAGTATTCCTGTGTGGATATTACATGTATATCAGATGCTCACAAATGTGTAAATTATTATTCACCATAAATATGTGTAGATGAAGTTTACTGTGCTTGTTTTGACAGTAGATAATTGTTTGTGAATCACGTTATTAATTTTTTTATTCTTATGTAAATAAGAATCTGATAGTCTGATGCATACATTATTCATGTTTACATATAAAGAAATATACACAAACAATTGCATTTCCATATTTCATGTGTGGATTATGGGAAATTATCGTGTAAAGTACTGCGTGTCCCTGTCAGAGTTGACATCCTTGTTGATTACAACAATTTCAATTTCTTTTTTCTATAGATAAACCTTCTGTTCTATTATACATAGTTTCAGTTGTATAACATTTGGGAGTTTTTCTTTGTCTGTCCTCATGCAGGAAGTTCCAGAACGAAGCAAGGACAGTCCAGGAGGTCCATGGCAGTTTATGGGTCTTATGCCGCTTTTTGATCCTCCAAGACATGACAGTGCAGAGACAATCCGCCGGGCACTTAACCTGGGTGTCAATGTGAAAATGATCACAGGTTTGACTTATTGAATAGAATTTTTAGTATATGCCGTGAAAAATTACATCCTGATACAAAACTAGTTGTATACTTGTGTAATGGAAGGAATACTGGAACAATGTTGTTTTTGATGATAGAGATCTTTACTAAGGTAAGGTTTGACATACTAATATTTGGTAGTTGCGTATCTTCCGTTGGATTTTCTTAAGTATGCCATTGGCTTTTCTTATGCATACATGGCTAGAAAAGTGCATGGTTACAGGGAAATTAAGACAAGCTAGGTGATTGGATTGTCCCAACTATCAAAAGCTGATAAAAGTATAGAACAGCTTTTGGTTGATTTTTAAACTGCGACAAGTATGTTGTAACTAATTTGTGAATATTTGTTGTGCAAAAAGAATGTTAAATCTTGTTTCATACTTCTAAAGTGGTGAAGAGTGTTATCATAGGTCCATAATTAAAGGTTTATGTGATGCTTTGTTGGTATCAAAGTTGTCGTGTCTGGATACTTGTCTTACATAGTTTTCCATTATGTATTTCCATTTATTATATCATCGTATCATAAAATAAATTAATAGATGAGAAATAGCTATAATAGTTTATTATATTATCGTAAGTGATGTGCACGCAAGTTTGCAGTTGGTCACATCCAAAAAAATTTCCATCTAGAGGATTCTAATTTCCAAAAAGTTTTCTTCATGAATTCAGGACATGTTTATTTTGTAAAGTATCTTTTGAGATTTCAATAACTTTAGATTAGGAGTCGTGATTTAGTTAGCATTTTAGATTAGTTAGGATTGGAGCTAATCTTACCTTAGTATTCAATTTATCCTATTGGAGAGTTTTAGTTTAGAAATTTTGCTTCGAGTAGGATTGAATTTGTTTATTGTTTTTTAGTTTAGTTGACACTAGAAATTCTAGTTTTATTTCAGTTAGGGTTCCTTTACTTATACATCTGCATCATTTTGTTTTCCTCCTGTTAGAATTAGTTCTTGGGTTATCGGGTTAGGGCCCATTAACCTATTAGCCTATTACCCATATGTAACCCTATATATACCCATGGAGATGAATGAAATGATAGACTCTTTGATTTTCTCACTCTTAACATGGTATCAGAGCTAGACTCCAAAACCCTAACCCTACCGCCTCCAAAACCCTAGCCGCCAATCTCAAAAAAAAAAAAAAGCTACTGCTGTTCTACGAAACTCTAATCCACCTTACCATTGGTGGTCTTCCTCCTCGATCCCGATCCTGGTCCTTCACCTTCGTCGTCGTCTTCTTCG